GATTTGGCACAAAATACATTAATAACGGTCTGGACAATTAAGCTTGACAGATAACATTTATAATTACTTGATGTTGTCGATTTTCTGCAAAATGTGTTGAATCTCTTTATTTCATCTGCTGTCACGTGCACAGGGGGTAGCTCAAGCAGATACAGGACACAAAATCACAGGACAAGCATGTTACAAATTGTAGATTTGAGTTTGCTTGATGAACCCTGATTGGTATAATATGAATTAATTTGTTTAGTTGCATTTACTTTTTAGATTATTTGTGAACATTGATATTTGGACCATCACCTCCGGACGCAGTAAATCTGCCAATTATGACCCCAAAATGTGGTTAAGGATAAATTTCAAAATGCCAAGACTAATGATTTACCACATTTACTGACCTGTTTTAACTTGCACAGACCAATTTTGAAAATGAGCCAAATATTCCACAGCAAACTGATAATCAGAGTTCTAAATACCATCTTGCGCATTTATCGGATTTTGACGACATAATAAATGTTAAAGGCCTGGCGTCTGTCTGAACAACAAATAGAGAGGCATTAGGATTTAAGTCAGGATGTGCTATCACTGGCGCCTTAGTGAGAACAGCCTTAACTGTGTCAAGCGCACTCTGTTCACTTTCACGCCAAACATACGTACGAGATTCTACCATGCGACTGAGGGGCAAGACCAGATCAGAAAAATTGGGAATAAATCTAACAAAGTATGTAGTGTTACGAGTGGAGAGATCACACTACAATATAAAATATTTTTAATACTGGCAGTCTATACATATGTACAAATGTGCAAAACAAGTATCATTTTATATGGTTAAAAGTCTTGCTTTGGATAAATAGAGATTATTAACCGAGTGTGTTTCCGTATCATTAATATCATATATTAGGAATAAAAATTGTATTATGCGAGCTCTTTATCATATACAAGCCACATAAAGAAACTGTGCACACAGGAAATTCCTTCAGAATTGGAATACAACACAGAAAAGGCCAAATGATGTAGACACTTTATAAGCTGAAGTATCGGGCCTCAACAACATGTCAAAAGAACATGAACAATATCCGTAACGATGACGTTAAAAGTTCAAAATTCAAAATTGAAAAGTCAATAACGGGTATGACCATTATGCGCGTGAAGCGCTACCAAATTTTCCAAATGAATGCCTGGGGAATGGTTTGGGACGTGGTCACTGCCGTCTGGGACCTGAGTCACCCGAATCCATCTGTCCTGTCTTGGCGTCGTTACTCGGGGACGCCTAGAACGTGGGTGGCCGGCGACGTCATTACTGTTTCCATAACGCCTGACCAATGCAGATATCGTGTTATGATAGCATTGGAAATGTGCTGCCACCGGTTGTTGGCTCAAGCCTGCTCGAACCATTCCAATGGCTTCATGACGTTGAGCAGATGTTAATCTTGGCATGATGTGCATGTGACTTCTCATGTGAATTTGTGAACGTTTGAATGACCAAGGATCATGCTTTCGACAGTGACATCACTTTCTGAGTTTCACATGTTGTGTGCAGCTGCACAGGCTGCACGTGCAGTAACACGTTGCAAGTCCATAGGCCACCATCAATGACGTCACGTCGCCTGGCACCTGCATGAGCGCTTGATTGTCTCCAATACTTGCTATGTTCACACCTTTATTTATGTATAAAGGCGCTGTCTGCCTATCTTTATATTTTCTGTGTGCACAGTTTCTTTATGTGGCCAGTATATAATATCACTCTTAAAATTACTCTAAAAAAGAAGCAAATCGTACGTGAATTTATATAAAGAGAATCGAACATTCGCGTAAGAATACTTACACCAAGGTGAAGGTCGTTTATGACGGCAGCATATGGTTGTGACTAGTCGCTAATACAGTGCAAACATAACTCATGCTCAAAATAAGATTTTCTGTCTAAAAAGAACAAAATCAGGCAGTATTTTCCTGGCAGTGTTTCTGTATTCATTGCGGGTAATCACCTCATCAATATCAGTTTGTGGAACCAGACGGAATCTATTCGTCGTCTGTATTGTGATTGATAGATCGAAATCCTTGGCTGGTACCTTTCTTAGACGGTTGCCTTTCAGGCGTGCCTCATTATCCGTACCTTCAATTTGAACGAAGAACTCCGTTTCATGTTTTCCAAAGTCAATTACTGCAGTAACGACTCCAGAACCTCTGTCATCAATTCTTACAGAATCACCAATTTTGAGAATGGGGGCAGCCATGTTTGTTTACAAACAATGTAAACTCGCGACGACGTCATCAATGAATTGTTAAAACGTATTAGGATTCGCATGGCGTGTATGGAGTTTTGTGAAAGTAGTTCGTGGATTAGGGTAATTTGCAGATTTATTAGATTTGGATACCAAGTTTATCAGATTGCCTTATTGCACCGATAACACGTTCCATTAGATGATAAACAAATGTTCCTGTTCCATCACATTCCTCAGAATAAAAACACATAAATCCATAAAATGAAATCCACTCTATGCCGACATGGCACATTCAGAAAGTCAGTTTTACTAGCCGACATGGCTGAACCTCTCATTTCCCTCCCGACCTGGCCCTGTGTTTTTTTGTGTTTGTGTTTTTTAACTTGCTTGAGCAAGTCAATAGCCCAAGCTACAATTATATAACATCATTGTTGTTTCATTACCACAGGTTAGAGAGTGGTTGGTAGAAAGCATGGCTTCTGACTAATGGTGAACAGGTTTTGTAGGGAATATAAACATATTTTAGAATCACTTCAAAGTTATACTTATCTATATACAGATTTATAGACATATATTCATATGTACAAGAGATTCTCATAACAGTAGCCAAACCAAGAAATGACCTCACTTGCTGCCATGTACAAGGAACCGCATAATTCCGAACCGCCTCGATAGCTTTCCTACCAGGACCAACTCCATCAGCAGAAATTGAAAACCAAGATATTCCATAGTATCCATAAAGAAATGACATTTGGAAGGTTTTAATGTCAAAACAACAGACGTCATTTGCTCAAACACCTCACGCAACATTGTCAAATGTTCATCCCCAGTGAACGAATGGACACAAACATCGTCCAGATACACCAAAACGTGATCTTTCGACAGCGCGTTTTTATTTGTCTACCAAGCACAGCTGAAATATTGTATTATTATAACACAAAAAGTTATAATAATATATATAAAACCCAACAATATCACCACTATTCACATTTAACATCCTACCAACTATGCAACCAGCCACTCATTAAGACAAGTATAGTAGCCTACAGATATAACCAGTCCTTTTCAGTAAACTAAACTCTTTATATACCCTCACATTTTGATTAGAATCCAATTATCCATAATTATTTTATAGGACAAATAACCGTTTTCGCAAACTGAATGTAATGTCCAATTCTTAACACAACACAAAGAGTGCACACATCGATTACTAATTTGACAGTTTAATTAAATTTTGTCCATACCGTGATAACCCAAAACACAAACAATTACTTATTCAATTTCCATACGAAAATACACTATCCCGTGACAGTTGTATTAGAACACTTGCATGAAGAAGTAAGCAATAACAGGAGGAAAAACACCCACAACAGGTCATGTCCATTTACGTATCCATCTTTTCAGTGTTTATTGAAAACAGTTTCAATTTCTGTTGTTGAATTGTTAAAACCTTACAAAAAGCATTAAACATTCCAATCATTCAACGTATCTTATTCCACAAGCCGGTGCAGTCCTCGTGGTATATATGATCGAAATTACCTGCAGATCAGGACAACCAGGAACTTCCAAGGTAAGATCGAGCTGATACTGTTGAACGCTTCGTTTTGTAAATGCTCGTATGCAAGGGTGTATTATAAGTGGAGTACGTGAGACACGATCATCCATTGTGGGCATGTATGGTTGCCCAGATACACAAACTATACACATGGAAAACATATAGCAACACCCATTATTGTTGTTTTGTATTCATATCATAATTATTATTTTAAATAATTGAATATTGTGACCCTTAGGGCGCACCATACATTTCTTGTTTGTTAAGGTGAGCACGTGTATCTGTCCTGAAACAAATATCAAATTTTAGTGAACTATTTTCACTGCTCGAGAGCTTGGAAAATCAATTGATTTCGTTGTTCATAAACATTTGAGTGGCCTCATCAACTGGTAAGTTATTGCATGAAACTACATATGGACAAAGGACTATTTCTTTTGCGGTCATCATTGAAGGTATTGGGTGCCTCCCACATAACTATATTTGGCCTTGTAACGATCTGTATGGACAACGGTACATCACTAACATCATGGCCAGTGTATATGTACCACATTTCGAGGACCATCCTCTGACCACAAGGCCGCATTGTGCACGTGTTGTCGGTAATTAACTCTACCGCAGCAAGCCAGAAGTCAATAGAACCAATAGAGCAAGTCTGGGACAGTATGGGTTGCAGATAACGCCAGGATATTCGTCTATTGAAACAACAACCCCCCACTCCACCCCTGCCCTCGATACAGTAAGTAATAATAACTCACTCACTCACTCGATACGGTGTTACGAATGTTATTATATCACATACGCATTCAGTTGGCGTTGGCGGAGGCTTGCACAGACATTGAAACTTTTGTTTGTTGCACTACTCCTTTTCTTGTGTATATCATTTGTATATTTTGTTTCTGGTGTCCCCGCCGTGATATTGCTGGAATATTGCTAAAAACGGCGTAAGACCATACTCAGTCAGTCTATATTTTGTGCGTCAGTCGTAGCGAAAGCATTCTTTGTTGTTACGATATATTCTAGTGTTGCGATACTTTCTTCGACATTGTTTCAGAGTACTCCTCGCAATGAGTTTACTTGAAGATTCAGGAAAGAAGACAAGACATGAATTGAACACTTTTCTGTATGATGGCCTGTACCTACCCTGTCCATCTCCATTTAGATTAACAGGAGACAATCCTTCAGAACAGATAAAGAGTATAAAGTCAGCTCAGATGTATGAAGATGATATCATCGTTTGTGCATATCCGAAATGTGGTACGTGTTTTTAGCTCAATTTATATACTTATTTCTCTTCCTCCCGTCCGTCATCAGCTACTTGTCTGCTCACCACCTTATGTACCACCGTTCTTCTGCGAATAAACAAGCTGTCAAACTTACCTACCAATCCACAAACACAACCTGTATATATTAGTAAAATGTTTCAGGAAGTCACTGGCTTTCCCAGGTCCTCTCTATGCTACGAAACGGGTCCATCCAGTATTCAGAACTGATCCTGGCGTCCAGAATGATTGACTTCGCCTGCAAGAAAGGACTGGAAGCACTGCATCCACCACGAATCCTACACACACATCTTCCTCTGCGCATGCTCCCCAAACAGGTCTTGGACAAGAAAATCAAATGTGTCCAGATTCTGCGCAATCCGAAGGATGTCTGTGTGTCGTTCTTCAACCACGCAAAGAGGGTTGCACCTCCTGAAACATACCAAGGGAACTTTCATGAATTTACAGATGCTTTCTTCACCGAACAAAGTTAGTGGATAATGGGTTTCAGCTCTATAAAATTGTTCCTGTATTTCATTGTTTCTGCTGTTCTGTATCTATTTGTATGTTTTAAGGCTACAGACATACAAAGTGCTCGCTAAACAAATATCTTGGGTGAAGGAATTTCATCATACAGCGGTTATCCGTGAAGATTCGATATGAGTGAGTGAGTATGATTTTACTCCGGTTTTAGCAATGATCCAGTAATATCACAGTGGTGGATACCAGAAATGGGCTTCACACATTGTACCCATGTGGGGAATTGAACCCGGGTTTTCAACGTGACGAGCAAACGCCTTAACCACGAGGCTATCCCACTGCCCAAGATTCGATATGTCGTCAGTAACCTTCTCTTGACGAAAGAGCCGACTAACGGGATCCGTCGGTGACGCTCGCGAACGGTGACTTGGTTGATCCAGGTAATCCCAGGTACACGGATGATGTGATAGTCGGGTCCAGACTTAATACTTTACACACAGCTGTCATAGCTATAATATTGTTGTGTTTCAGAACTTACAAAAGAGTGTCCTTCCTACAGCTTGTTACCACGGGGAGTACTGATGAACAGCGCTATTGTTCTATTGTAAATGTTTCAGTGCCATATGGGAGGTACGATGACTATTTGTTAAGCTGGAAGGCTGACGTGTCCAGGTTCCCAGACCTCCCATTTCTTTGTTTCTTCTATGAGGACATGAAAGTGGTCAGTATCTGTAGTAAATAAATTATTTCCTCACAAATCGGTCGATTTCTCTACTTGACAGAATATATCGTTCATCGTTTCAAGACCCGTGAAGATCCGGGTTAGAATTGGTCCTCAGCAACCCTTGCTTGTTGTAAAAGGCGACTAACGGGATCGGGTGGTCAGGCTCATTGACTTGGTTGACTCGATTATTTACAGACCACCGTCATATAGTTGGAATATTGCTGAGTGCAGCGTTAAACACCAAACCAACCAACCAAATCATCGCTTCCAGATAATACATCCCTGTTTTGTGTGAAAAGAGCCTAATAGATTGTGCAGAAGCAGACAACACATTTGAGGACATGTCATGTGTTAACCCTTCAGTGTATAATCTAGACAAAGAGTTTTGTTCCCAAAAAATTAATGTTATTTATAAAGGCAGAACGAATGTTTACTGTACCTCATCTAGAAGTTTCGCCAAACACCAAATACTGACGTACAAAAGAAAGTACACACCTGGTGTTTTGGATTATTTGAAAAGTGTTGTGAATTTGACTGGCAACACGATATCTGTGGTGTTTTGGCAACATATTAGGAAAGTCTGACTTATATATCACTGTAAAACTCTTTTCAAAACATTTACGGAGCTTTTTGGAAAGTAATCCAAAAGCACCGAATGTGTCCTTACTTTTGTACGTCAGATTAGTAATATTTCAGATAAATCTCGCTTAATTTAAAATAAGTAGTTCTGATGATGCATTTTAAAAACATTATTGTCGGCTCCCTTTTAAAAGATATGACCGAAACAATGAAGACATCGTAATGTTTATATTCGTCTGTTTTATTGCCAGCATCCCTTAAAGTGCGTGAAGGAACTTCGTGCGTTTCTGGGGCTTAACATCACAGACGCATTCTGCGAGGCTGTGGTCGAGGCCTGTTCGTTTGATAAGTTGAAGATGAAAGAAAGAACGGGCATGAAAGATGGTGCTGTCGTGAGCATCTGGAAGGAAGGTTCTGGAGGGACATTCTATAGAAAAGGTATGAATGACGTGAACATATTGTCCTATTTTGAAGCCAGTAAGGCGGCAAGGGCAGCGAGATATGAACACAGAAGCTTAGGCTCCTCCTTGGATGTAGTTAAGTGTGGGGAAAGGGCCACACACCACTAAACATTCTATTGATTAGCAAGATCTATGTACAAACTGCCTGGCACACGAAGGGATGTGCTTGAACACAGGCTTTGCATTCAAACGCGAACGTTATCAAACCTCACTAAAGATGAAACTTGAGTGATCGTTGACACACTTCAAACGTATACTCTCGTTGTGGACACTCGTCATATATTTACGTGTACAAAATGTCTTGATGTTTATGGACAGTTGGCAAATGGTAAAAACAGAGCAAAAGTGTAAATCAATATTCACTAATTCCTCTTTCCAGTGGATCCCTTATATGATGCAATGTTTGGAGGCCCTCATTATGAACTTAGTTTTGATCTCTTGTGTGTTCTTACCATGTGTCTTGTCGTCAACTGGCAAAAACAACCTTCAGTTAATATGATATTTTTCTGCTAACGAAAAAGGATTTTATTGTATGGTTCCTACTGAACAATAGCAGCTGTTTACGAATCACTTTCAAATAATGCTGATATCAGTGTATCCCGTCACAAAATGGGACCATGTTTCACGTCACCAACACGTCTGACCTAAAGACACCAAGGACAGTAGATGGTAAGGTATTGCTCGACACAATGTGGTAGCTGAATACATAACATCAGTGCCAAAGAATACAACAGTTTTGATTACATTTGATGTAAAGGGAAAAGAGCTGTGAAATCATATGAATGGACCGCTGAAAATCCGTGATTGTGTTCGCCAAAAACTACCCCTCTTGTCATATATTCTTATATAACCCTGACGACCAGCTGAGGTGCATGTGAGGTGAAGAGGGATTGAGGGAATGAGTTAATATTTAGCGTCACATCGGCAATACTTCAGCCATATCGTGACGAGAACAAATTAATTTATATCAATATTAAAATCAATAAAATTGGAACATAAATGCCTATCATCGAAGAACAGTAAAAATATTAGAGCACCACATATATAAATTTAAAACTAGTAACTATCATAAAATTATCAGTATAGACAGTACAAAATAAACACGGGCTGTAGACCATCAACAACTGAAGGTAGATCACCATACTAGGGTCCATAAGGACTTACAGTACTTTTGCTAGCTGCATGGACCCTAGTTGGATTAACACCATCCCGTCAGCGAAGAGGGATTGAAAAGCCATCTCTTAAAAGCATTTGGTAATGAGTGAGTTAAAAGCATTTTTACAAGTATTTAAGTTATATCGCAATGCTTAAACGTAGTGTAGGAAATAATTATTTCAAGGCTTGGGTGTATGTCCCTGTGCATCTGTAAAGTGCGAAGAAATCTGAGATCGTAATGATGTATCTTGATCTTATGTCGTAACACGGCTAAGGGGAGTAACATCAATTTAGGGTGTTTTGTACGATTGAGTTTCGTGTCCTTGCGGACATGAGAAAACTATAAATAAGCTGTATATATAAACATATTAGCAAAACATGCACGCTTTATTTATTTTGTAGGAGAAGTTGGAGACTGGAAAAACTGGTTCACTGTGGCAGAGAGCGAAAATTTTGACATCACCTGGAATGAGAAGATGAACGGTTCGGGAATCGAATTTTCATATTCAGTACGATAGTTAACCTCGCCTTGAACTGTGATTGCACGCAATGTGCAACTTTAGTGAGTCCGCCAAAATATACCTCATGTACACACCACCTTCATTTGTTTGAAACAACAGTAAACTGCGGTTACATTGAAATCAAGCCCACTACTATTTTCAGTTCGATATAACAGTACTTCGTTATTCGCATTTCGACTGAAATATGTGGATGGGATGATAAAACCCCAATTCGTTATATCCGTCAGTTTGCTATAAGCATTTTCGTTTTATGTTTAATGTACCCTCTGTATATTTCAAATCAAAGTGTACAAATAAAATGTCTCCCATGTTCGTCTCAGAACACATTAACAAAATTACCTGGTAGCTTGAATAAAGCACATCAGTTCACGTTACTGTTGGAACACTTACTTCCTGATGTTTGGTTTATCATTGAGTTAATGTTATTCTGAACCCGCTTTAAGTGGCATACTACGAGGACAGACGGAAACATGAATGATTAACTCTAGAGTCAAATAATTGACTAGCCGTTGCATGTGTGTATGGTAGTGGCATCAGCGGAGCAGGATACGCCCAACTTTGGCGAACAACTGGATTTGTCAATAATAAAGAGTGGTTAATTCGAAAAATATCCAGAGTCAAACAATGCTTTCGGTTAATGTGAGTCATTCCTGTCACCATCTTGATTTGCGTATGAAGACTTGTTGTGTGTGGGTTCTCTGTCGGTGACGGAACCAAACTTTAACAATTCACTGTTAAAAGAAACCAGTGTTATAACACACACACACACACACACACACACACACACACACACATATATATATATATATATATATATATATATATATATATACACACACACATTATAGGTTTAGTACTGCTCTGATTGAATTGTTAACTATTGTGAGAAGTATTGCCGGCGTGACTTAAATTAAACATAGTTATAGATCATACGTGTAAAATCGGTGAATGTTACATGAAGTATTGATATAAAGGTATAATATAAATGCTAAGTACTTGTTGTTTGTCCTTTCACTACAAATGGTAGATAACCTTACTGTAACTTAGCTCTTAGGTTTGAGAAGTACGTAAGTCCAAAAACATTCCCAGTATATTCAAGCTCCACTTTTTTAATCGTAGAATATGTGTAATTTTAATATATGGCTAGATTTGTCTCAATTGCTAACAGCTGAAGGGATGATGTAACTCCAGCTAGGGCCCATGCAGGAAGCAAATGTACTGTAAGTCCCCATGGTCCCTAGTATGGTGATCTACCTTCAGTTGTTGGCAAAATATAGCTTGTTTTTATATTGTATTGTCATCTATAGTTAAACTGTTTTTGATCTAATTACTAGTTTTAAATTCGAATCTGTGATAATCTGGTTATGTTACTGTCCTACGTTGACATGTTTTTACAATTTACCATTAGTTACTATGTATAAAAATTAAGTGTTCTCGTCACGATATGTCTGAAATATTGCCGATGTGGCGATAAATTTTACCTCACTCACTCACTCTTAGGTTTGAGAATAGGGGAACAAACAACAATAATAAATATATAGGGCTCGATTAAGGAAACATAATCTACTTGCATCCTTTGAAACGTCAGGTAATAACGTTGTTGAACCATATAAACATATAGTTGCAGCTGCTGCACATATAGTATGATATAGAATGCTTGAATTTTGGCATTGATGATTTAAACCATCATTTGCGACAAAATGGTCTGGAGTCTAATAGAATCATTTGATCTTACTTCATAACACATGCATAGTATCTTCTTTGAGAGGCATTTTAGAAGTTGTATAGATGAAGGAAAACCAAGTTCTATGGATAGTCAACTTCTTTATGGAAATCAGTGCGACGTTTCGGGTGTAGGTACTACATGAAGACGTGGCAATTAAGTACATCAATCAAACTCAGCAAACTTAGGCTTAGTAGCGATAACGGTGTTAGTACCTACACCGAAACGTCGCACTCATTGCAATAAAGAAGTTGACTATCCATAGAACTCTGGTTTTCCTACATGCATAGTAACATTAACGTACTAAGATCACAAGCAACTGACGGCATGTGTGACGCCATTATCAGAGTATAACATGTTACTTGTGACCATGAGACCACTGAGTGCAGTGAGCCTCACCTTGGCCTCAGATAAAGACGGTGGAAAACCTGTCCCTACGTTTGTTTCTGTTCTACTTCTGGTAACTGGATCCGTGTTGTCACTTATTTTTATTTATTATTGATATTTATATAGCGCACATATCCACGCACTAGTGCATGCCTCAAGGCGTTGGTATTTTTCCCTCGATCATTATCTCTGTCCTTGATGTGGTAACCCTTTACCAGACATATATGCAGTGGTGGCAATCGACACAGAACCAACGTGGGTTTGGCCCCAATACACATAAGAAACGATATAACATGCTCTAGTCTGATGTAAACGATATGTCAAAATATCCCCGATCTAAACGATATTACAAGTACTAGCCGGATGTAAACGATATACCAAAATATCCCCGATCTAAACGATATAACATGCTATCCTGGTGTAAACGATAAGTCAAAACTCCCCGATCTATACGATGTACCAAGCCAGCCTGATGAAAACGATATTTCAAAATGTACCGATCTAAACAATATTACAAGCTGGCCTAATGTAAACGATTTGTCAAAACACCACGATCTAAACGATATATTAAGCCAGCCCGATGTAAACGATATCAAAATCAAAATATCCCGATCTTAAGAAAATTGTATATCAGGCCAACCTGTTCTATTCACGGAGGCAAAGTCAAAGTTCTTTCGTCTAGGAGATATATGAAACTGCCATTACAAATGGGGCGTGTCCAACTACTTTGATCTCAACATTGTACTTAGTTACCTTGGTCCTCTCGCAATATTACTGGGTATGTTTTAACTAAATCACCGGTAGGTCGCTGGGGAAGGTGTGCACAGCTGATTGCTGTTTCCGGCTCTGTATACGAGACAAATACACACAGTGTCTTAATCCCTGCATACAAGACATTGCCTTTCAAAAACAAAGTAGAAATGAAAAGGTAAATAATCCTTGTCTGTCAAATCCGGGCTGCTCTTTGCTCCAGAAAAATGAGTCGGTCTCAGGCCAGTCTATAATGGACAGATTCCATTGTATGTAGCTATCCTGATCTAAACAATATATCTAGCTACTCGGATCCAAACGATATAAAAAGCTCTTCTGACCAAACTGAAATATCTCATGACATATCACGTTACCCTGATCTACCCTGATGGTGGACAATAAAATACCCTGGACTAACAGAATATATAACTTAACGATGCAAATTGGAAGAAAAACATAATTTATCACCAATATTTCGTCCACTGTTTCACCTCATTCTCTGAAAATTCAATACTCTTTGTGCACTTTGTAACACATGTTATGTTGTATGGGAGCAGTATTCACATAAACTGGAACAGTTTGTTCACCAGCCCCTGTTTATTCAATCAATAACAACATGTATAAATCACTAAAGTGACAAAGCAAGTTTGTAGGAGGTATGTCAAGGTCGGAATATGGGACATGTCATTGCGACCCGCATGGTGTTTCAAACTGACCCACATTGTGACAATTTCGTTGTGATATGGTCTTTAAAGTGAGTGAGAATGATTTAACGCTGCTTTTAGCAATATCACGGCGGGCTGCACCAGAAAGAATCACAGTCTGTTTTGTGAGAGGCGCAAGTCATCAAAGTGCTGTTATGGCAGATAGGTAAGTAGTTATGTTGAACGACTCCATTTTCATTCACGTGTGTTTGTGAATAAGTTGCTTGGTTTGTTTGTCTTTTGTTGAACGCCGCACCCAGCAATATTCCAGCTATATGGTGGCGGTTTGTGAATGATCGAGTCTGGACCAGACATTCCAGTGATCAACATCATGAGCATCGTTCTACTACATTGGGATACGATGACATGTGTCAACGGAGTCAGAGAGCCTGACCACCCAATCCCGTTAGTCGCCTCTTACGCCAAGCACGGGTTACTGAAGACCAATTGTAACCCGGATGTTCACGGGCAATTATGATGAATAAGTACAACACATGTCATGAATGCGTTGTAGCATCTGCCTCAACTTTGGGTCCAGGGTAAAAACAGTTGATGTGGTATATTTCGATACTAGTTTTGTTTCAAGGGATATACAATTATGTTATATAACTGGAGTTTGAATATGCGAGTTAACCCATGTCTGCCATCTTGATCAATTTCTGTTGATAATGCATATGCATTGTACTGAATGTAATAATTTCTAAATGTGTAATATGATGTACTGAATTGTAAGAAAACATAATTTTCTAAAGTGTATGTTTATCAGATAATGTGATTCAACCACTGTCAAGCACCTATCATGTCATCATAAAATATCATCATTGAACGCACATGGTTCAAATTTCAGATACGTCAGACTTTAAACTGTACATGTCTGAAAGCAAAATGATAAACCTTTGAGAGCTTACGAGTCAGGGTTCACTGTGATTATGTCGTGAGGTAAGTAGCACAACCGAGTGTGCACCATGTGTGATAAATGTGGTCGCGTGATCACTAGATCTCCTGTATAACGTCGGGGACCGTCGATATATTCACAGTGCTTCACATATACACCACCCAGTCAGTTACAGTACAGCTGAGGTGTGATATATCATCAGATTGTCAAGATACTTCATCACCACGATGGCACAGGAACGCGATGGAAAGCCTCTAGTGGAAGTGTATCTTGACAACTCCTATCAATTTAATTGGGCCGATGAGTATCGTTTTGTGTAGCTGGTGGTTATGGAACGTCATATACCAGGATACGAATCAACATAGTGACAGGCCTTAAATGTCATTGTCAAACATATAATTATATAATGACGTTTATGCATTGTCAGGAGTTTCATCGATTGCCCTCAATTCACCGTGTGCATACATTTCGGTTGTTGCAAATAAAGAATGCTGTCTTAATGGCTGTGTCCGTAAGTGGGTCACGGCACTTCGCGAGACCTTAGTACTCCCGGTGACAATCAACGTACACTTGGTCCGGTCTAGTAAAGTCATATTCAGCGGTCGCGCAATTTGGAATCAGAACTGTTTCTTGAATATACGCCTGTCACCGGAAATCTGGTACCGGAAGTAAGCTGGCCCGTCGCGCATATCGCAAGCTGGTAAGTGGGGCCAGCTTAGTACCGGATGTAGCGTCTCGCCAGGACTTATAGACCCTATAGAAGGTTAATGTTGAAATTTGTTCATACCTTTGCCCGAGAGTGCCCACAGCGCAAGTATCAGGACAAGTGGGTTTTCAGAATTTGTTTCATGTTGATTCCAAATATCGAAACTAATAAATTAACCGGGAAAACAGCAAAGAACTGTAAATTACAATCTTATGCTAAACAAACTGTTACGAGTGTGTGTTTTTGTAATTTATATGATCACTGATTAAGTGATAGTTGTTACTGGGTCACAATGTTTAGAGGTTTGAGTGAGGGATGTTGGTCACATTTCGCATCATGTATGTTCAATGGCAATACAATTTTTAGCGGTACGCCTTTTGTTGATAACGCTTCAGAGTTGCCGCCCTTTGAGGCAATCTTTTGTATAACTATCTGTTATGACATGTCGTAAACACGACGCTGTTCCTGAAAGTTCTGAAAGAATAATGATACAGCCACGCTTTGCTGGAATGTTCAAGAATCAGTGTCAGTATATACAACATGTATAAAGGCTGGTTGTTGTGTTGTGAAGCTTACATGGATGATGTCATCAGTTACGACATGGAGTGGGAAGACCATCTGAAGAGAACTCGTGCTTTCTTCGAAAGACTGTCTAAGCAAAATTGACTGTGAATCTTGCAAAGTGTGAATTTGGGAAGGCACAAGTTGAATTTTTAGGGCATGTTGTAGGGCACAGCCAGGTACAGCCAGTTCATGCTAAGGTTGAAGCTATTGTACATTTTCCAGTACCTCAGTCTAAGAGAGAACGTTTTGTCAAACTTTCTCAGATGTTGTATCACCACTTACCAACCTTTTGGGGAAAAAGGTAAAATTCCAGTGGAATAGCAGTTGTCAGACTGCATTTGAAAAAGTCAAAAGCCATACTCGTGAAGCCTCCAGTATTGCAGGCACCAAATTTTGAGAAAGCATTAAAGTTACAAATTGATACAAGTGATGTAGGTGCAGGTGCTGTCCTGATTCAAGGGGATGATTCAGGAATTGAACACCCAAGTTGTTATTTTGTGCCTCACGGAATCACACACGGGGAAACACACGGAATTACACAGGACTTTTCATATCACTGAGTTGTGTACATCTTTCTGCCTACGGTTGTCGTCTGTCTGCCATCATCTGACCTACATTCAAGATTGACATTTATCAATAAATGCAAGTAATGACAACAACGTTTCCGTTTGTTCATATATAAATATTGTATTATATGAAGTGACAAGGCGAGTTGCTGAAACCGTCAAAGATCACAATGTGCGACATATCATTGCGAACTGCAAGTCGTGACAGTCCAATTGACCCACACTGTGACCTTTCCTTTTGATATATTATCTTAAAGAATCACAGTTCATGTATCGTGATCTGTGTTTAGAGTGACGCAAAGACACCAAAATGTCTTTGAGTAAGACATGAAAGTAGTTCAGGCATGATCTGATTTTCATTGGAGTGGGAATATTGATTTATATAATAGGGTTAAATGTACTTACCACAGAACGTTATAAACTGCTCATACAAGTAAAGACAAGATTTATTTCATTCAAGTGCGTACACAAGTGTTACGAGAGTGGTTTTTTTTGTAATTTGTATTATCATGGATTAAGTGATAGTTATTATGGGTCACAATGTTTAAAGTTTTGAGTGTGGGTTGCGGCTCACATCTCGCATCATGTATGTTCAATGGCATACTATTTTTAGCGGTACGCCTTTTTGATAGCGTTTCAGAGTTGCCTCCCTTGGCAATCTTATTTACGGCTTTCATCATGTCGTGTTTACGAGGCCTTTCGTGAATGTTCTGAGAAGATAATGATGTCGCCTGGTTTTACTAGAATGCTCAATAATCTGTGTCAGTATATATAAGGCTGGTTGTTGTGTTGACACACACGGACTAACACATGGACTTATCACATCACTGGAATTATACATCTGTCAAGACCATCGTAAACATCGTCAAGACCAATCGTCTACTATATACTTCGTGTATATAATTTTCTTTTTTTTTCTTTCGTATATTATGTCCTATGCATTTCCCTATTTTGACTTAAACCATTTGTTCCCGAATTATTTCAGGTGAACAAATTTCTAGACTTAGCATATGTTTATGACGGGTGCCACCGAGGGGGCAGGATACCTGGAATCGCGAACACCTGGTACCATCACTATTTCATAGTGATTCATAAACATATGGTCTGTCATCGTATCGCATGGTGACAATCACTGGATTGTCTGGTTCATACAGCTGTAATACTGCTAAAATAAATATCTGCTCATGACATATTCACAATTGTACAATCACCTCTGCTTTTGGCAGAGACTTCTTATGAATGTGGAAAGGATTTTGTCGCTTCAAGACCCATGACAATAGCATGTTGAAATTTGTTCACACCTTTGCCCGAGAGTGACCACAAAGCGCACAGTTTCAGCGTATAAATGCGAGTTTCCAGAATTTAAATGAAATCTTATAAAATTAATGCTGTGGTATCTTCAGGATTTCTTCAGATCTGAGAGACCTTGGTGACATCCACGATCTGAACAACTTTCAGTGTTTACTGTATGATGGCCTGTACCTCCCAATGGCACCACCAAAACGGCTTGAAGGTCGGAGTCAACTTGATTAACTACAAGAGCATTAAAGACGCTCAACTGAATAGAGATGATGTAATCCTTTGCGCGTATCTTAAATGCGGTAAGTACTTGTTGCATGAGTGTTAGACTGTATTTACTCAGTATGGTGTTCAATGTATTTCGATTTCTGACACATGTTATTCATCGGCAAACGTTGTTTATCAATCACTTTAATAACTTTTTATGTGTGATATTTCCTTCCACGTGAAGTTGATACTTCAGTCTGTAGCCAGAACTTTAGAAACGTGATGTTAAAAGTTGAAAGTGTTTCAAATCTATCCATAGCTGATAACGAATCATTAGCACATCTAACTGTCACCATCAAACAGACAGTGTTTGTTGAACAAAAGAGGAGAATTCATTCCCATTGTAAGACTACTGAGCAGAGTATTACAACCTCGTTCTCTCGTCACTCTTTTCACAAAAACAATGCAATGTATGCAAATGCCCAATTCTTTTATCATTTCTTTAATAAATAACCCACTAAAATCTAAAAGGATTAGGATCTTCCAAAGGTTTGTTAAAATGTACATAATGTTGGAACAAAAGATGTAGAATCCGACTTTAACGAAACGTTTAATTATTTTATCGATAAAACTTCCAAAACATCTTCAAAACCAAAAAGTATGAATTCGGTGAATTTCTGCAGATAATACTCTCCTCTTTGACTGTTGTAATATCGATCATTACAATTACATACTTCCTTATGCTTAATATTCTGTTGGTCTTACATGGCATAGTTTACCAACAGGAACCCTATCAAGAACCTATCAGGAACCTATCAGGATCCCTTGACCACAGAAGCTGCCAAGTTCTGCCAAGTGTATGCAACTTGCCCAATCAGCTACAATTGATGATCATGCTTTCAGTCAGTGGCTTTGTCAAGGTCCGCACACAATTACTTACAATTTACAAGAATGTTTAGGAGCCTTGGCCTCGACGTTTCGTTAAGGCTTTGGCGGAAAACTCTCACTCACACCATATTTTCACTCTTGACCAGGTAACCACACTGGCTGTTTGAGGTGCTGGGGATGCTCACGACGGGATCTCTTCTTTACAGAAAGTCACTTCCCAGGAGCCAAAATGATTGACTCTTACATACAAAGACGGCATAGAAAGTCTGCCCCCCACCAAGGTTACTCGTTACCCATCTCCCACTGCGCATGCTCCCTACACAGGTTGTGGAGAAAAGCTCAAGTGCATCCAGATCAGAAGAAATCCAAAAGATGTATGCGTGTCCATGTATAATAACTTCAGAAACCTCGCTGGCCCGATGTGCTTTGAAGGAAATTTTGCGGGAGTTCACGGAAGCATTTCTGTCGGGTGAACGTAAGTCACACTGTAGTCGCTGACACTGTTCTCTCAGGAAAACAATCTTAACTTCTCGCATTGTCGCTACCGGTCCTGTGGGTTTTTGTGTGACTTGACATGCTCTACAATCTACCCAGCGGGCAATAATAACGTTGAATCAACGTTGAATCAACGTTGAATTTTGGTTGTTTGGTTGATCAACCTTTCATAAACGTTGATTCAACGTTTATCATGCGACCAAAGAAAGTTAGTCGAGATTCGTTTAGTTGTCAACGTTGTTTCAACGTAAGGAACCAACAAATTGTCAACTAATTGTTTCCTTGGCAAATTTGATACATAATTCATATTGGTAATAGGTATCCAACTTAGCAACTATCATTTCGGAACATTATTTTCATAAAAGATCAAGATCGAGCTAGTGACAGATATAATCTTATATATTATTTGATTGTGCATCGATCAACGGACGGAAATATTACGTAAATCGCAGTTTTAGGTATAAAGTCATCAGTTATCCAAATTGCATTACATTTGATATTTTCCCACAAAACTGTGAAAATTGTATAATTCCCGACAATTTGCTTTCAAACACAAGCCAGATGTTGACCTTCGATCGCCCTGTTTGGCCATATCCGACATGCGCACAATTATCGCGCGCGCAAAGGCAGCTGATCGTTGTCAGTTCACTTTGGCGAAGTTCAACTCAATATCGTTCTATTTTCACCATCTTCACGGCATGCTGGTGTTTATTTGGTAAGTATGTCCTTCATGTATAATGAAAACGTAGGAATGCCGTTTAAATCTAGCAGTAGCAAGAAACTCCGAATTAGGGCTCATGTTTTATCTCACAAGGTTACCGGTATGTCACAGTACATGTTTCTCAAAATTTAGTGGAAGCCCGTGTTTTCCATGAACTTGTTTTGTTATTTTTCAATATATTTGCATGCATATATTTGGCATTTTATTATATAATCGAATAAGATTTTTTCGTACCCATCACCTGATTTGAATTTTGCAAATATACATTTTCAAATAATCAATGAAGTACATCAATATAAGGAACCGTTCATAATTAAATATATGGCTGCGGGTGTGGGGTGATGATTGTAAGGGTTGGAGGGTGGGGTGGGGTGTCACCCATTTTGTTCAGGGAGCTAAGGGGTCAGCATTTTGTACACACGCACTATGTTTAGAAATTATGGGGGGAGAGGGCGTCATAGATAATGTACATGACATGCAGGGTGGGCCGTCTCTTATTCTGTACATACTCATACACTTTAGGGTGGGTGTAATTCACATTGTACATAAAAAATCAACATCACCCCAAAGCCATACATTATGAACGATCCCTAAGGGCGGCTATACAAAATCGGATAGAATTAATCAACATTTTATATTGCATCCCATTATTATGAACATTTGTTCGTTTCAATAGATCTATCAGTAAATGATGCATTGAGCACGCCCTGAACCCTGTCAACATATGTATATTATTGGGGGGAGGGGGTGGTGGACGATGGCGTAAGGAAATGCAACGAAAATTTTCACTTGAGCAATTTTCCTTTCGGATTTTGTTAACTGTTACATTTAAAATGTCTTGTGAAAGTCTTTGAAGGATGAAATTGTATATAATTTATTTGAACTTTTATTTATTTACAAAAAGTGTAACTTCACTAATGATTCTTTGATGGGACAATTAACAAAACTGCACCCACAGAATTTCATTCTTACACTTGTTTGGAAGGGATATGATAATTCATGTCTCTTAAAGGTTAAAATCTTACATACAAAAGAAGTAATTTTAATGTAAGGAACATTTAATTATGAAATAAGATTATTTTAATGGAATTTGCAGAAATCTCATCTTCGAAGACTGGGTGGCAGCAATTTTGTGGATCACATAAAAGGAGCAAGGCTAAGGTAACACGTTTTAACATTTCACTTGTTTCCAGTATATCCACCACAAAGTTTAAGAGAAAGATGATAATGCTCTTTCATTACCACCTGTTTTGAATATTTGTGATAATGTTTGGTCTTTTTTGGTGATAATAGTTGGTCTTTATTTTCATTTATATATTAAGGTTGATCATTTAAGAGAAAAAAATTGACAATGATTTCTCCCGGAGATGTTTAGTTTAATGAGCACTCCCTTGCTTGGCGCCATATTGTTTTTCGCCGTAAACAGCTGGATGCAAGATAGCACGCGAGAGGACAGAAGTCATACATTTATAGATATATAGAGATGTTTATTGCTGGGAAACACACTCTTCAGGTATTTGGTCAGCTGTAGAATTTGAATATGATGTTCCTTTTATTATTGTCTAAGGGTAGGTTTTCATTATTTGCAATCTAATATGTGTGCAGTGAAACATACTGAGATTTGGAAGAGTCCATTATTTAAAGTACAGGTGTTGTTAGATATCAGCATTTTATGTACATGTTCCCCTGTTAAGATCATCTATCGAGTATATTAGAGAGAAGGTGTATATTTGTAGTAAGTTTTAAGTCAGAGTTATTTTCAGTGAATGACCTACATTTCAATATGTTTTGGCCACCTGTCACCCCTTTGGTCAAATACAGTAGGACTTCCATTTCTTGGAATTGAGAGTCAGAGATGCACTGTTTCCAAGAATTTGCGTTAGCCAGCGATGTTTGTTTACGAGTACATTTAAGTCTTTTGAGTGTAGATTGAGTTGTAAGAGATGTTATTCAATGTCTTATTATTCATTGTATGATAGATTATTTCTGGCAATGTAGAGTTTAATCTCATTATTTTATTGTTCATGATTCAGAGAAGCATAGTTATGACGTCGCAGATAATACGCACACATAATTCATTATATGAGAGATTTTCTAAGCGTTCCTATAAGAGATTAAGTGTAAACATTTATGAATTATAAAAAAGTTATTTATCTGAGTTTTATGAGTGTACAAATGACAAAGAGAGAGAGTAGATACTTGAGAATATATTGTATACTTATGGGGTTATAGCTAAAACGGCACCACAGCAGAACGGCACCAAATTTGTTTTGGCTTAAAACGGCACCATATTGGCTAAAACAGCTACTGATTTCTGGGCTAAACGGCACCATATAAAAAACAAAGTAAGACGATGACTCATGTTTTATTTCATTTCATTATAACATTAGCAAGATTATATCAACATATGAGTCATTCTCAAAATCTGTGCATATTTATGTCATATGTTTGTATCCGACAAACTTAAGTCAAAATCAAACCAAAAAATTATGGTAACTAACTTATCACAATATTTTTCTACACTTTACAGTAACAAAAGTAGGGAAACTATATTTTTATATTTACTTTACACCACCCAATTTTACTCAATGTTCATGTGTCACAACTCCAGTGGCTGATGTCACAGATGTGGCATTTGAATTTTTTGTCTTTTTCATAAGCAATAAATATACAATTTCAAAACTCCATGTTATATTGTAAAACTAGATATTTTAATATATATGTACATGAAATAAATATTATCTTTGGATTTTTTCTTTTCAAAATGATGTTACAAATTTCGTAACGGCAGTGACACAATTTCAGGAAATGTCTAATAAAAATGGTAAAATATGAAAAATGAAACATCATTAAGCTTGCATAATATATGTTATGTATATTCAGAAAAGTTATTATGTTATGTATACCCAAAAAAGGAAAAAAATCCCCATAAAACCAAAAAACTAACAAACAATGGGTTGTTGTTATTTGCTTTATTTAACGTCGCACGCACAACTAAAGTATTTCGGCGACGGTTAACAATGGGTACATTTGTCCGTTTTAATACAATTTCATTTTGACACTGAGTTTGACACTGGGCGATTTCAGTTGAGTAAATGTACTTAAAACATCAAAGCGTGCGATGTTTTCACGCTAAATTGGGATGCCCTTTCCAATCACTGTCGGCACAGTAGATGTATTTACTATCTAAACATTCTGCAATCCGATTGTCAGCTATGGGATGCCCACTTCCAATCACTGTCGGCACAGTAGATATATTTGGTTTAAGCACATTTTTATTTTGTCAAAGAAACCTAGATAGGCGAACAAGCCTAGTGGCTTATATAGACGCAACTCCATTACATTGTTCCAATAGCTGGATACATAATTGAAATAATTTGACAACAAAAGAAAAATACTGTGACAAAATAACAGATAAATGATTGAATAATAAATATGTTCGGTATAGTGTTGGATATGCCTAGCAACGAAATGAGCAGCGGCAGAAAATCAAATATATAAAATTTGCCTTACATTGAATATATACGTAGATTTGATAATTACTGTAAGCGGTTACTTTTAGAAATGAACTGTTGTAATGAGTTCAGAATATCACTAATAGTTGAGTTATTCAATGCGCCGTTACCGTATAAAGTAGTTTTCACATCGTATCCTGAATATAAAAATACATCCTTGTTCTTAAATTTTGATAGTTCCGACATAATAGTAGATGTATTTATTATCTGCAATCCGATTATCTTATAACAAACTAGTTTTCCCCATAAGATTTTAGTTTGTGCCGTTTTCGCCATAAGATTTGTAGCCGTTTTCGCCAAGTCGAGGTTCCGTTATGTCCAAATGGTGCCGTTTTCGCCAGGTGCCGTTTTGCTGTGGTTCCGTTTTAGCCTGCACATAGTTATATTTATCTGAGTTTTATGAGTGTACAAATGACAAAGAGAGAGAGTGTAGATAATAGAGAATATATTGCATACTACTTATGAGAGCTCATTATTGTTTTCAGAACTCCATGATCCATACTTCCTTGTGTTTGGGAACAAATGGTGTTGGGAGACCTCCCACAATAGACTTGTTCTTTGACCTGTGAACCACCACCCATTTTGTTTTCTTATCATTTAATGTAAAATGGCTTTTGTTACAATTTATGACTCCTGGTAGCAAAATTGCCTACATCAGTTCAACTCCTATTAATTTGAAATAATCATTTCCGAGAATCTCTAAAGAAAACTAAATCTGACAGAATAACAACAATCTTCCATTGTTTTGCAGGACAATGTCAAACAATTTGATGTCAAGAATGAATAATGATGGGCAAAACGGCAAGTTTTCTTTTAAGAATACAAGGTTGTATTCAATCATCTCTGGTAAGTTAATTACCAAGTGCAGCATTTTCATCATGACCATAGCAAATAATATATGACAGTAAAGCATCGTCTAATTCATCCTACCGGTAATTCATAGTCTAATTAAATAATCAGCTTGCAAATGAGGATTTTCTTTGAAAATGTTTAAGAAAACTTCCATTCCTTCGGTTGAAAATATATATTGTTTACACTTTTCGTCATATTTTGTATTGATGCTGTTCATATGTTCACATGCCAAGTTACAGCAGTGAAATGAACCTTTCAAGTGATTGATTAAACAAATACTTGAATCATTTAAGACAATATATCTTCCATATAACTTATTCATGTATTTAAATATAAAATTTCAGAATGTGTCCTATCTCAAGGGAATGAGATGGGAATGCATCCGAAGCAAATTTCAAGAAAGAGTTAGGAACGTTTCTGAAGTATCCACCTGACCGCCAGGCAGGGAGTGGCAGAAAGAAGAGGAGCTGATAATTGTGTTTTTGGAGTTGTAATTGTGTTGAAAAATCTGAACTGTGGTATTGAAATTGGTGGCGTAAATGTCACTTTGATGCTATATGCAGATGATATTGTGTTATTAGCACAACAGAGATCACCTACAGACTATGTCATGTGTGATGTTTTACATTATGCATTAAACCACGGTTTTCTGTGTGCGTGTGTGTTCATAAAGATTTCATGAAAAGTGACTTGTTTTATGTGCTGTCTTCAGGTATAGTTCCTGGTCATCTTGGATCCCTTTCATGGTGAAAGTAATTGCATTGTGTTTATTCAGGGTCTGTCTAAGAGCTGAAATTCAGACAAAATGTCTTCTCGGGACAATTTTCACCTTTCAAGGTAACAATACAACAGTAAATAGTTTTTCTTAATTTGGAATACTCTTTTCTTCTTACTGGAATTATACGTCCAACTGACATAAAACTTAAATGAACATTATATTGAATGTGGAATTTGAACCAAGTATTTTATCAGGTAAATATTTTTACCGCAATTTTCTGTTTGAACACTGTTTATTGCAGGTAGCTTTTGGGTATTTTAGCTGGATGCAGGAGTTTGGTGCTACTTTATTGTAGTTTAAAGATGAAGTGCGAGTCTATTTACAGGAAAGTAATAATACCTCCCAGACACAACCACGGAACAACCCATTTTCAACGTTAATAATATGTCAGACTTCAACATTGATTCCACGTCGGATATCTACGTCAAAAAACTTTCATATACAACCTATTTTCAATCTATTTTCAACGTTGAGGATCAACCTATTCTCAACGTTGATAATCAGTCAAACTTCAACGTTGATTCCAAGTCGGATATCTACGTCAAAAAACTTCATATACAACCTATTTTCAATCTATTTTCAACGTTGAGGATCAACCCTATTCTCAACGTTGAAACAACGTTGATGCCTGCTGGGTATGGTTAATCTTTCTGTGAGCACCAAATGCAAAACTGGTTTTCAGTCGCTCATTCACATAACTGTCACCTTTATTTTCTTTGCAAACTTTGTACCAAATTGTGTCAAAAGAATTTCGAATCTCCCATCATAAATATATCCTGCATATCGAGCAATAGACCATAAATAATATCCGGTAAGGAGGTTTATTCATGCTCTTTCATTACGGTGGACGTGACCATTATATTGAATGATAAAACCAAAATGTCCTTAACCATACACACTCACTGTCATTGATGCTTCAGTACCATATGGATCCTACCACGGCTATCTCAATAGCTGGACTAGTGAAGTGTCCCCCTTGAACAACCGGTGTTCTATCTGTACTATGAGGATATGAAAGTCGTAAGTGTACACTGTGTTTTCGTAGAAGATTAACTGTCATATGTGGTTTGGTGTTAAGTTTTCTTATATATATATACCTGTTTACATTTTAGTGTTTGTCGCAAGAGGGAGCTAGTCATCGCATCTCCGTGCTCCCTCACCCACACCAACTAACATTTTTCTTATGATCGAATTACTCATATATTCCAGAAAAAAATGTGTTTCAAAATAACACAATACATGTTTATTACAGCACACTTAAATGTTACAAAGATTTAAACAATTAAGAAAATAGAATCAATCATGTATGTAACTGCACTTTCCCAACGATTTTCAACATGTATGGATTTATATTTGTATCAGAATCCCCTAAAGTGGGTTAAAGACATGGCAAGGTTTCTAGATCTAGACGTCACAGACAAATTCTGTGAGGACTTGATCGAGGCGTGTTCCTTCAAGAACCTGAAGGAGAAGGAGGCCAGACATAAGCAGGAGGGTATTGATCCAGGTATTTGGAAGAAAGGAGCTGTGGGACATTTTACAGGAAAGGTAGGATTCACGCATGCGTCATAGTCAGACAACAAATTGAAAAAACTCGCATGTTTGAAGGACAAGGATGGAAATGGTATTTAGGCTTGGGTTCTCCAGCAGACCTGTAGTCCAAATCATCGATACATTTGATAACTCTGTCGATAAAGATACCTACATGAAAGGTAATTTTGATATATTAACACAGCTTTGATGAAAAACAAACGTTAGACGTTGGAGTCAGATACATGCTGTCAAAGCTTATTCAGTACTGGAAACTATCATCGAATTAACGCTTCTTTAACGTAAAGTGATAGCTGACATAAAAGAGGTGAAAACAAGGGATTCGAACGAAATGATCAACGGACAAACACAATAGGCCCCTTTGCCTTCAGTACTCCGCCCTTGCAACTGAAGTACAATTGATGTTGGATGCCATTTAGGTCTTTGAACCCACGCATATCTATATATATATTTCAGGTGAAATCGGAGACTGGAAGAACTGGTTCACTGTAGCAGAAAACGAGAGATTTGATCAAATATGGGACGAGAAGATGAAGAATTCAGGCATGAAATTTATATATTCTGTTTAAGGATGCATTTTGAAATCGTGCTGTCATCAAGGCCATAGCCAGTGAACCACAGAGGACGGCATGATATTATATATATATATAGTTTCGTTCAACAGCTTTCATAAGAGTGCTTTTCTTCTCGTGTATCTTTCTTTAGTAGTACTTACATCCCAGTGAAGGGCATGTGCACCTAAAACGTTAAACGGAACGGATAGGGTCGAAGAGGTTACGGGCAATCACGAAGATTGCGGATAAATCTATATTACGAACGTGATTTTTCTCTCAGTATTGGAGTTTATCTTGCCGTGAACTTGACATTTGATTGACGTTATACATCACCTTCAGAATACAGCACATCATCTTCTCTGGCTGATGGTTTCTACCGTAGGTCACATACCTACATTGTATCACTCAGTGTAAATATATATTGGCTCATCCCTAAAACGTCGGAACGGAAAGGGTCGAACAGGTTACGGGCAGTCACGAAGATTACGGATAAATCTGTATTACGAACAAGAAAGACATAAGCATGGCTGGAAAAGCTACGCGGATGAGCCTGCTTTCGAATCGTTACTGACCTAATGTAGCCGGAAAGTCGGTGAAAGTTTCAGGAGAGTTTCCGGCAGCCAGCATGTTCGACAATAAACATTTCCATCATGTTCTTTCAACGAATATTACCAGATATTTTACCGTTAGTGATCTGTTAACTTGTAATTGGATGACTACTGATATAGCATGTATGATGTCAGCTCGCGATGGGTTACCTGCGTTTTCCGTTAGTGACTTCTTTATGTGTGGTGTGAATAACCCCTGGTAATTCCGTATGAATACATTGACACACAAGGCAAGGCAGATTTTTAACATTCAATTACCGTTTTGTCTCTCAAACCTGTCCCAGTGAAATGACTACAAATTGGTTTTGATTTGAATATGTTTGCTTGTTAACAATGCGTATGGCAATTCAACAAACAGAAATGATATCCAAGTAAATCAAATACGTTTCTTGTATGTATTGAATATCTGCAGAAACTAAGTACAGCTGTGTTGAATAAATACAGTTAGCACATTCCCCATGTGCAGTGTAGTTTTGCCCAGAACTGTTACAGTAAGGCACGAGGACGCAGGCAACTGACAGCAATTGACGGTTTGCAGCTTGAAATGGTGTCGCCAGGGGATGTACAAGGCCGTAGAAAGCAACTGAATAATGGTTGCTCGTGTTGTTCTCATTTAAAAAATAGGTTATAGAACGTTTGAAGAACTGGGCCTCCTTTCACAAAGCACTACGGTGATCGTAAGTCACTAAGGTAACCTTAGTGCTATGTTAAAGAATGGGAGTTAAGGTCAATCTTAGTAAACGTTGCTTCGTGAAAGGAGACCCTGGTCTTTCCTGTGGCCAGACAAAAGACGTAGGTCGCAAGGCACTAATGTCCGCCTGTAGCTTATGTGACAAGGAGAATTCGGTTTGTGTTCATGAGGATATTGCATGAGAGAATGTTGACACAATCTGGCATTAATCCTTCCGAGAATTATATTGGATACAAATCCTAATATCAATTTCGACAATATGGAATTGCTATGTATACACCTTCATGAACTGAAACATTGCATTGTTTTCAGCATATGTAACATCAGTAGATTTCCAAGACATTTCATTTCTGATACAGTGCTCTGTATCCATCATATTGTAGGACGTGTTCTCAATATGAAAATCATGTGTTGTTTAGGGATTTAATTTCCAGGGACAAGATATATTAAAGACCAATAAATGCAGGCATACTCTTCGGATAGTCAATGAAGTAAATATCCAGGATTAGAAATGCCAAGGGATTGGACAGATGATTCCAAGAACCAAGTTATCGACACATGAAAATTCCCAGAAGAGTGAGTGAGTTAAAATTCAAGTTCACATCGGAGGATTTCAGCCAAACAGCCTCGAGAACATATTCACACATGTGCACAAATCCATTATTAAAACAATGTCACTCGCAACACTGTCTCAATTGTTTTACATTACAATAATATTTGCATCTTAAAACGTAGGCTATTACGATAATTGTTACAATCAAAACATGGAATAAAACAATATTATTTAATATTTTTAACACTGTCTATAAGCCCCAGTCTATAAACAATGTTACGAGGTTGTGTTTCTGTTAATTAAAATGTCACATTAATGAACTTTTAGTAATTCATTGGTCTCAGAAGTTTAAAGCACTGAGTGAGATTTGAACTCACATCATGAACTTAGTATGGGCTATGTGTTTTCATCTGTTTAGTAGATTAGAGTTACCTGTCCCTTTGTTGATGTTTGTTCGCTGCTTCCGGCGAAGGATCGAGAAGCGAATCGATCTTTGTCTTATGTCGTCGTTTTTGATAGATTTCTCCAGATATTCTGTCACTCTGCTCTTTGATAGTCATGCACTGTTGTCAGAAACCGTTATCATATGCAAAACTCCTGTTATATTCTGTAATACCACATAACAGCTTCAGAAATATAGCTGCATCATGTTATATACATCGGACGAGTCACTTCCAGTCCTAAACCAGTCATGTTTACAGCTGCAGGTATATCGTGTTATTCCTAAAACTATTTCTGATGAAATAAGCTTTCCCATTCAAAGATAAAAGTTCACCCCAAAGTGTTCAGTGAAGCTGCTCACATCCGAGAAACTACTCACATCCGACAGATGTTCCGTGTAATGTTTTACTGTAACCGTCTCTCGAGTTTCGTTGGACGATTAATATCCCATGATCATACATTGCAACTCCGGCTTAGTGTCCCAATAGTTTATTTTACGGAGACCTGTCGTGGCCTCGTTAAAAAAAACATTGAGGATTTAAAAACATCGCAAATCACACACATGCCAATTTGAAACTACAATCGCAAGGAGAATCTCACATATCCTGAGGTCACAACTGGCACCGCACCGCATCGCATCCAATATGTGCTCCACTTCCGCCAAAAGGGGATGCAACTCCGCACAATCACATTAATTTACCTACATTTACAATAATCGAAGTAAACACTTTGTTGAATATACTTAAATACCAAGGTGATGCTCTATAGTTATCCATATTATTCAAATCTCCTTGCTTATGTAAGCGGAACTATAAGTCCAACTGACCATGTTTGAGGAAAAGTACCTCTTTCCAATATTCAATTGAACACAAGCTCAAGATATGGTAAAATCAAATCATCAGAATGCTTGAAGAACTCGGGAATTGTCTTTATCTATGCCTGGAGATTTTTAGTTTGAGGTTATCTATGCTATCACTTTTATTTCTTTCTCTTGATATTGGGAATCAAGAAGCTTTTGCGTAAGTTCATGATTTGGATCTGGAACGAAATGCGATGGGTTGTCTCCTCCATATTGCATTTGCATTCATCATCAACTGGTAAAACAAGGTTCTAAAATGTTCAAACCAGTCGCTGGTAAGGTAATGTGAACTTTTAGAATTATCAATGTTTTCTTCAATATTGTCTCCTGCTTTCTGCTTTATAATAATCAGTGCATTTTCTTTTACATACAGCATTGTACAGCTATTTCCTGGAATTATACTTCTATTTAATGATTGTTTATCCTTCCGTTTTCGAAAATTATTCAATGCCTTAAGCTTTTGCATTCATAATCATGCCATTTTTAACATCACAATTCAAGCTACTACAACCATGTTTCATATCTGATGGAAGCGAGACAAAGAGCCCCTACAACAAAGTTGATACTTGTATCGACACACGTAAAAGCGCTGTCCACAGATATATCTAATATGTCCTGTAATTGAATCTCATAAAATGTTCTGCCGGGAAAGTTTCTGGATTTATCGTTGTCACAAACAAACCTGAAACTGTTGATACAGTCAATGTTACCTGCTGAAGGTTCAGGGTACATGAAGCGCCTGTAATTGAAGTGTGACTGGGAAATGTGATGATTCTGATCGAGATGGTATTGAGAAGTTGTTCTTAATAGTCAAATAGAGGTGCGGATGAAATAACGTAGCCTACCACTCACACTTTCACCGTTAGAACCACTAAAAGTAAATCCGCCAATTTGCGAATCAGACACACATCACTCCATTCAAAATATGAATATTGAAAATGGAAAAATAAATCAAAGTTTTCTTTACCAAAGGTGTTTATCACTCTATTTGGCAGAAAACCTTTTAGATTAAAAATAGTCTAACAAGAAATCCCAACAGGAGCTATCACGATTGCTCTGAGAGAATTCAAATAAATCATCTCTCAACAAAGTCGGAGATTTGTTCCAGTTCTGGAATTCAAAATCTCTACCACAGTGTACTTTAAACTTTGGTAAGCTTAGACACAATTTCTAGCAGTGACGTTTGTTCAAATTTATTCCATTTCTACATTCTGTAGATAATTTGTCGTACCATGTCGAACCTTCCGGTTGAATATAAAGGGTTGAACA